TGTTATAGAACAAGACTGATATGAAGGTTAGGGAGTAACTAAGAGAAGAGGAAATGAATAATGTACACCACATTAAAACAGACGGGGGAGAGAACTGTATAAAAGGAACATATGACTATGTATTATTGGCATGACAAGAGTCCAGAATAAGAGTTGCATAGTAAAGTGGTCTAGGGGTGGTGGTCTGCAAAACAATGAAAGAGCTTTTTTCCCAAAGAAAAAAGTGAGCTGGGGGGACAGGAGGACAGGGAGGAAAATGTGTAACAATGAATGAATGGATTTTTTTTAAAAAAAGAATATGTTCAAACCTGTTAATACCAAATAAAGTAAACATTTTTGAAGGAAGGAAGGATTGAACAGGTCATGAAACGATTTCCCCACAAGTAAATTCCTGGACCAGATGGCTTCACAGCTGAATTCTATCAAACATTTAGAGAGGATCTATCACCAATTCTATTTAAACTATTTCAAAAAATTGAAAAAGAATGAACACTCAGTCATTTTATGAAACAAGCATAACCCCAAACCAGGAAAAGATATTACCAAGAAAGAAAACTACAGACAAATATTTCCCATGAATATAGACGCAAAAATCATTAACAAAATCCTAGCCAACATAATCTAAAAGCACATCAAACAGTAATTCATCATGACCAAGTAAAATTCATAACATGAATGTAAGGATGGTTCAACGTAAGAAAAACAATCAACATAATTCACGATATTAACATAGCAAATAACCAGAACCGTATGATCTTAGCAATTAATGTAGAAAAGGCATTTGACAAAATCCAATATCCCTTCCTGATAAAGACACTCTGAAAAATTAGAATAAAGTGGAATTTCCTCAACATAGTGAAAAGTATACATGCAAAACCAAGAGCCAACATAATTCTCAATGGAGAAAGACTAAAAGCATTTTCCTTGCAATCAGGGACCAGGCAAGGATGCCCACTATCACCTCTTCTATTCAATCTTATATTGGAAGTACTTGCTAAGGCAATACAAGAGAAAGAAATGAAAGGCATCCAGATAGGCAAAGAGATGGTTAAACTGTTGCTAGATGCAGATGATATGATAGTGTACACAGAAAACTCCAAGGACTCAACCAAAAAAAAAAAAACAACACAAAACAAACAAACAAACAAAAAAAACCCCTCCAAACCTATAGAACTAGTAGACTAGTAGAGTGGCAAGATATAAGATCAGTATCCAAAAGTCAGTAGGATTCCTCTACAGTAATAAAGAGAACTCAGAGAAGGAAAGCAAGAAAGTAAAACCATTTATAATAGCCAACCACAAATTGAGATACTTGGGAGTGAATATAACTAGAGACAATTAAAAAAAAAGAGCTATACAAAGAAAACTATAGAGCATTTCTGTGAGACAAAATAAAAGAGCTAAATAAATGGAAAATGTGCCCCGATCATGGACAGGAAAACTCAATATTGTGAAAATTACATCCTACCCAAAGCAATCTAAATGTTCAACACAATGCCAATACAGATAGCAAATTCATCTTTTAAGAAGATTGAAGGGGAAATTTAAGTTTATTTGGAGAGGAAAGAGATTCCAGTTAAGCAAAACACTTCAGAAAAACAAAAATGAAGTTTGAGGCATAGCACTTCCTGACCCCAAAACCTACTACACAGCAGTATTAACCAAACAACAGGCACATAGACCAATAGAACAGAATTGAGAACCCAGAAATGGATCCAGCTATCTATGGTCAGCTGATATTCAACAAGGAAATAAAACCGTTCAAATGGAGAAATGACAACCTTTTCAAAAATGGTGCTCATGGCTGACAGGACTGAGAGGGCCCAGCTCCCAGCTGGAAACAAAGGAGGATGCTTCAATGATTTAGATCCTCCCAGAAGAACTGTGGGTGAGCATTAACATTACTGGTAAGTATATTCGCTTTCTCCTGGACACAAGAGCCTACTATCTGGTCCTAAAAGCTTTCTGAGGTCCTAACTTTTCTCACTGTTTCTTAGTTGTTGGAACTGATGGAAAACCTCATAAAGAGTTCCTTACTTCACCTCTGCATTGCATACGGACTTCCGAGTTGTAAAACAATCTAGTAGTAGATGGAATTTGCTCCAGAACTTAAGAACAATAAATGACATAGTTGAACCTCTACATCTTGTGATCCCTAACCTTTATACTATAATAGACAAAGTGCTAGTCAATAGGCCTTTTATTGCAAGAACTACCTTCCCTCTGTAACTTGATCGGTGCCACTATTAGAGCTTCTACGTGGAATATTACTGCTTTTCAATTTTTGACTCATGTACTTTTAACTTGTTAGTTAAATTTGTGTCTTCTAGGCTGCATACATCTTCAAGGATATGAACATGCACAGCTAAGCACAACTGATATCAGTGCATCTAAATTCCAAAATCAATCTCCATAATAGTCTATGTGTTTCCTATTGCCAAAGGGGCCCTTTAGAGTAGTGAGAGAAGATCTTCACCCTGAAACCTACAGCGTCCCTTTACAGCAGGAAGTAGCTGAGAGAATACGCCCCCCCTTTTCCCTATGAATCAGGGTGAA